AGCGAGCATGACTCTGTGTTCGACTGTGTGTTTTTGTGTGAGTTGTTGTTGTTGTTGTCGTCGTCATCGTATCTGCATCTGACGGTTGGCGTAAGGATCGTTTGCGCTTGTAAATAAGCGACATAAACGAGTGTTGTATTAATGTTCATAAAGTGGTATCTTGACGTCAATAAACGTCGCCCGACAGCCAGCGAGCCAGTCAAAGAGCTGGAACTCATTGAAGGCAGTTTGTGTTGCATTTTGATAGCATGCATGCGACGACATGCGAGCACATGTATGTATGTCTGTATGTTATTCGGTTGGGTGCATGCAGGAACTTGAGTAAGAAGTGGCGTCGCACTTGAAGCAGTTCTAAGGCGAGCTATGCCTCGGTGTGCTTACTAGGTCACTTATAAAAGCCTGTTTAATTTGTCCCTAATCGATGAAATATGTATGTGTGTACGTTTGATAATTGTTATTCACTAGTTTCCCTTAAAAGACATTATAGCCGAATTTACCGCGTGCACGGGGCAGGCATAGAGATATTATCAAATTTCATGGTATGACAAGACGAGTTGACTTACTCCTGCCTATCGAATAGTTTGAATCAAATTTTATAAATTTTATATTTATACCCAAAGATTGCGGGAAATATGGAAATCTATCCTAATTGGGATGAATTTAATATGAATATGAAAAGGATATTAAATTCATCAGAGCTCGAAAAAGTTTATTACCTTAAGTTGAGAATGCATTAATATTGTGAGATCCTGCGAGCAAGTAAAAATGTTGAAATTTTTTGGTGCCAAAATGAAACGAGGGCGTCTTGAGAACCGTGCACACTTTGGAATTGACACACTTCGGTCGAAAGGTTAGCAATGCGAACTACGATGTTCGAGTTCTGGCCTGATCAATATCAAAGTTACAGAAATTTAATTTAAAATAAAAAATTGAATTGAAAAATGAAGGTGCACACCAAAAATTGAAAGAAGAGCTCTGCTGGAAATCGCTTGAGGAACCCCTGTACCAGACCCCGATTTGTAGGTCACATTTTAACGAGGAATTGGATGAAGATATATTTCTACAATCGCATTCAAAAAAAAAAATTGTTGAGCAAATTTTACGAATTTTTCATAAAATAAACTGGCAAAAATCCATGCATTATATTTGCCTTCGTCCAAATTCGTCCAATTGAAATATGATATTTTTTCACTTCGAGTGATCCTGCTTCTAGGCGTCAGCGGAAATGACGTCACATTGGCAGAGTTGTGAATATTTCCTTCGACAAATTCAGAAACTCTTTTTCAAATGTGTATGTTTAAGACTGTAAATATTGAGTTTGAATAATATATTTAATTAGCAGTAATTGTTGTATAACCCCATGAAACACCGTAATTTTTTCAGGTGGAATTCCATGTAGCCTAGTGCTATTTTCGCTTAGAGAATCGAAACTTATATACAAAGAACTTTTAAATTTCTAAAATTGGCATTTGAGTCGAACTTTCTATGTCAGATTATCCGCTTTTTGCGCATAAATATAGATTGTTATAAGCCAAAAGACAAATAACTAATAATTTGTACTATTAAATAAAAGTAAAAGAATTTAATTGGTGAATAAATAATACTAAATATTTTATAAAATAAATATATTGTGTATTTGAAAAAATTGTTTAAAAATACATAAAAACAAATTTATCATTGTGATAAAAAAAATTTGTAATTAAAATAAATAATAAAGAATGTATATAGAAATGCCTGATGGATCCAAAAATGATTGACTTATGTACGAGTACGCCCTTACGCGGCCATCCAAGCGGTGCGATTAGTTTTGCAGCACAGTGTAGTGTGACACCAATAAAATCCTGGTTTTAGTTGAAAGAATGAGAGTGCACAAATATACATGCATGTATGAATGTGGGGGTGTGTGAGTGCATGGGAGTGTAGAGTTTAATAAACGAACCCGAATTTCATGAAATAAAGAAAAATGATTAGTTGAAGAAAATCAAGTGTAAAAATAAATCAAGAAATTGACAATTGATCACCGACTAACATAACGCACACTAAGTAAAAAAACGTCATAACTCAAAAGATCTCAGAAGTTCATAAAAGGCAAAAATTAGTATAATTTAATAACAGGTATAACGGTATTTCAAGGCAAACTGTGTTTCAATATAATTTTAAGCATTCGTTTCAGATGTGTTCTGTGAGCTGAAAAAAACACCAATTTGAAAAATTTCGAGTTGTGAAGTTTTTTGATTTAATGTGCGTTTTTTATGTAAGTAAAAGCCCAAATATTGAATTCTGATTAATAAGACAATAAGCGTTGAAGATTAAAAAAAGCATATGGTTTTCGATAAAAATTGCCATTTTCTTGATGATCGAATAAAATAATAAGATTAATAAAAAATTGTGATAAAAAGATTTAAGATTTTTTTTGTTAGTCTCTGCTTTCTAACTTGTGTACATGCGTATATGTGTTTGTTGTTATTGCTTTCAATACTACTAATTGTTAATTATTTTCTGTGCTACATATTTTTATAACTGTAAATTCATGCTGGCGAACCACTGTTTATTGCTGATTTATAAAATTTTAGTAATAAAAAACAGTAACAGTGCAATTCGTGCAGTGTGTATGTGTGTGTGTGTGTAAAACATGCGAAATAGTTATTTACTGCAATGAAAACCAAGTTTGAAAACAATTTTAGAAAAGAATATTGTTTTCAAAGAAGGTTTTTCTCTATTTAAAAATATACAATAAAAGAAAAAAATAAATAAATAAAAATAAATAAAAATAAAACTGTATGTTTATATATAAATATATAAATATAAATAAAGTTATAAATAAAAGAATTTTAACAATTAAATAACAAAGTTGCTTTACTGCAGCCGAAAATATTTTTACATTACCTTGGAAGCAAAAAATATTAAATATTATTTTAAAGCAAATCAATTTTATAAAAATTTCCTTCCCTTTTCTTGAGCAGCGATCTTAAAGATTCGAATTTTCGAAAAAAAACCGTTAAAAGCGATTTTACTTTAGATACTCAACAAAGGTATTCAAATAATGACTCGATTATTTTTTGCAAACTTGTTAAGCAACAACAATTAGCCATGAGATGCAAAAATCAATTTTTAATTTTTTTTTTTGTTTAGCAAATAAAAACATTTTATAATTAAATTTTCAATCAACAATATGTATATTTTCGCTATTTCGTTTTATCATCTTCTTTCTTTTTCATCGAACCTCAAACTTTAAACCAAAACTACAACTAAAATAAGTTAAACTTTTTTCCAATATAAATAAATAAATAAATAAATTAATTAATTAATTAGCGCTTATTAGACATTTACTCAACCGATGTGTACACCGGACACTCAAGAATTATTTCCTATGGATATTTATTATACATATATGTACATACTTATTTAGATAACGAGCACTTAGGCATATATACACGTACATACATACGACCAGAAATACGCTAATGCTTTCACATACACATACATATATTTATACACAAATACAAAATTCGCATACAAATACACATACATATACGAGTACTGAATTAAATTACGTTGATTTAACTTCGATGATCGCAACGTCTAACAAAATATTTGTACATTTACACTTTTCAAATTACAGTCTTCCGACGAACTTCTACGGACTACATAACCGAACGGCCGAGTTCTACGGACCGACAGCGCTTCGTCGCGTTTCAATATTTACAATATACGAGTACCAAAATAACGGATACAGCTTATACGCTAATCAGTTGTATGTACGTAGACTAGACTAAACACTATGCGGAGACCTATGTCTAGCTAAGGCGGCTCTACCAACCAACTTTCGATCACAAACTAACTCAAGTTTTGCACCTTTGTGCCTTGATCAAACTACAGTTGCCACCTGCTGCCAAAGCTGTACGGTGAGTATCTATAGCTGGGACTACCGAACGAAGCGCCACTACTTACGCCGAACGGTGTGCTATGGTGGAACATATCAAAGGCCGAACCGAAGGCAGTACGCGGCGGTGTTTGATAGAACATGGCCGCCGTTGCAGCAGCTGCCGCTGCGGCCTGTTGTTGCTGATCTTGTGTCGCTTGCGTATGCGTATGTGCGTTATGGTATTGTTGTTGGGAGGAAGCATGGTGCGGCGTTTGATATGTTCCTCCATTATTACTAACTACATTACCGGAAGAGACGGCAGTTGAGGTGTTGTTGGTAGCGGCGGTGGCGGTGGCGTTGGTATGTGTAGAAGCGCTATTACCCAAAGGCGAAGCGGTTAGGCTATTGAGTAGGGACGAACCGATTTGCGATTGAGTATTTATGGAAGCACCTAGACCACTACTGTTGTTGTGACTCGCATTCGAAGAAGATGTTATTGTGTTGGCGGTAGAAGTAACAGGCGCCGCTGAATTTGCACTGGCGTACAAAGCCGCCAGTAAATCGTCGGTACTGGTCAAGTGAGCAGCGGTCTTGTGACTTGGCGCACACGAGCTGAAGGCGCTTGTCGCCGACGGCACTAGACCGCTCGCTGAACTTGTGGCCAGTTGCTGACTTGTTGTCTTATTTTCTAAATTAGTTTGACTTGGATCGCTGTTTTCCAAGTTTCCGTTGCTATGATCCGTGCTTGATCTTGTCGTCGTTGTGGTGGGTGTGAGTGCTGCCTGCTCGGTGGCGGGAAAGGCATGTTGAGTCACCGCTTCAACGCCTGCAACACTCTTCATGAAGGCGGCCAAGTGAAAAGCCGCCGCAGTAGTGTGTTGTGATTCAGTCTCGAGTCGATTTAGCTCATCGAGATGGTCGCGTACAATCAATAGCACTTGCTCGTGCAGTAACTCAGCATTGATGCCATTCGCCACCGACGCAGCAGTTGATGATGTCGTCGTTGTCGTTGCCGCCGAACTATCTGAATTCGCACTATTATTTGTGCTGGCCGTTGATGCCAATGCACACACTTTAGCTGAAACTTTAGTCAACAGCGCCGGTACATCCCGGTATAGGATATCGAGCAACTTACCGGTGGTGAAGAGCACGATCGCCTTAAGACAGGAATATTCCGCTGAGTCGACGTGTAGCGCCTTCAGTTTCTCCACCTGTTCCTGGAAGATGCGTATGTGATCCATGAATGCAACAACACGATCCGCCGCCATCGGTGATGCATGCAGGCCGGCAGCTGCTAATAACGGTGCCACATGCAGTGGCATTGAGCATTGACTCGCATTCAAAACGAATAGTTCGGACCAAACAAGACGCAACAACGCCACTTGATCCGTCACTTGTAGCTCAGGGAAGAAAGGTATATTCTTGGCCCACTCGACAGCGGAGAAAAGTAGGCGGGCGGCTAGCTCGCAGATATTATCAATACCCATGATATTGTTCGGCTGCATACATTGGCCATAGCGGGATGTTGGGTAGGGCTCGGCGCGTAAGAGCAGTGAAATGTAGGAACTTAGATAGGAGTGACCGTTGAAACCGGCAACACCCATAGGGTCGCCGTTCGCGAGCTGATATTGACCATGCATACCCGCCAAACCGGGCTGAGTGGGTGGCACACGACCGCGTTGAACAGCTGCAAAGAAATAGAGAGAAAGAGAGCCAAGAAATAGGCATTAGTGAGAGTATGAGCATTTGAATTAAAGAGCTAAAAGCTACGAGTAAGTATGAAAGCGCAATAGGTAGCCGGGCTAGCCCGGGGCACTGCTGGTAACCTAATACCTTATTTAAATATCTAATTTTCAAATTTACGAATACGAACAATTACAACAAACCTATTATTTTGACCACGACATCACACGCCGAACAATGCGGCTGCCAGATAACGCCGTAGATACGCATTCAAATTGTGGCATGTTTTGCAGCTCGGCCAAACAAGGTCTACGACTACGACAATACCCAGACGTTTATTAAACACAAACCCCTAAACTAGCAGCCGAAACAAAGGGATATCAGCAACCTCAATCTGGGCGCATTGTTACGGGATGCTTGCACACGGGGCCAGCGTAAGGTGAAGGACGAGGCAAGAACAAGAATTCGCTTACGAAGACTCACAAGAAGCACTGAGCGTCAACAAAGAGCAAGTCTTAAAACTACCACCCTTTATCTTGAGTGAGACGGGTTGTGGGGTGAGTTCATGCCAAGATATCGAGATACTTTTTAGCAACGAGACGCTCACTGCGTCATTAGGCAAAAGACGACGACTACTCTGTGTGCCTTCATAGTCTGAAAGACGTTACAAGATTGCATTTGGGTGGAGCGGTGGCGAAGGGGTTAAGAAACAACCCTTGAGCATTTGCCGTATATATATTATACATATTTATATGTACGAAAGCCATGCCATGTATGTACATATGTGTGTTTGCACATACCGTAAAATATATTATATTTTCAACACATTTCCTCCGAGCAGAACGATTTACACAACACAAATTTGCATTGCTGTTTTGAGTGCTGAGTGAATTTACTTTTAATTAAAATGCACAATTTACAAATATGATACGATAATGCATACACACACGCACACACACACACACACACGCACACGCACACACACATACAGTCCACACTTACACTTACGAGCACGTAGCGTCGGTATGGCAAACTGGATTACAGCGAGGAATCGCTAGCAATCAACAAGACACGTGGAATTACTTCTTATAGACTCTAGTCAAATGTAAACGAATAAATGCGCACATATGTATGTATGTATGTATGTATGTATATGTATTAGTAAACAAAGTCATTGGAGTTATTGTTTCTTTTTAATTCGTTCTTTTTTCGAATTAATTTTATTCACAAAAGTAAAAACTTATTTACCATAACTTCCCCCCTTGCCTCCACAGTGTTGACAAATGCTATTCCGGGCGAGGCAGTGGTGCGAAGGAAGTTAGTAACTATGCTAGCAGTGAAATGATTTCATTTCAATAAGTATGTGTGAGTTGACTCTTCCTCGGTTAGTGACCTTAACTCGCCGTTGAAGAAATGGTGATGACTTCCGAAGGTAACTTTGCGTAGGCATTGCGTTTTGTTCGTAAATAAATAGCGCATATATAGGAGTCAATGTCCGGAATCCGGTTGTTCGATAACTCAAGGCATTCTTTTGCTTATTATTTTTTGTTTCAAAGCCAATTTATTTTAGTTTAAGAATAAGAATTTTTTATAATATTGTATATGATATAGCAGAGCTTTTCGGCCGAGCTTCGCTCCAACCTGTGGCATGCGTCTTGGCGTTTTTCCAGTAAATGGAGCAATGTTTTTTTAGATATGCGATTCGTTATGAGGCAATACTTTTTTCGGAGCTGGTATTTTTAACAGCTGTTTCTTGACTCATATTCGGTTTGGCTTGCCATTTCTTAATGTACAGACTTAATCCGGAACAACTTTTTTAACTCGTGTGAATTTATTACGAAAAAAGTGTGTCTTAACGGAGTTAGTAATTCGGACAACCTTTGACCATGGTTTCGCGCCGCTTTTGCTCTCTTTACTCTAGTGAATAATGCGCATTCTGAGAGAAAAGTACAGAGCGTACCGCAGACGCGTGTGATATGGACGATTTTGCGGCATAATTTTGGTTTGCGGGCTTACAAAACCCAAGTAATACAAAAATTGGAGCCAACCAAGTATCAAGTGCGTCGCACGCTCAAGGAATGAGCCCAAAACGAAATGGCCACCGGTTCCGATTTTCACAACGAAGTTTCGTGCAGCGATGAAGTCACCTTTGGTTGAATGGTTACGTTCACAATTGTCGCATTTGGGGCGATGATCATCCAGAAGGAATTGCTGAGACGCCGTTATATATAAGTGGCGTTTTGTGACTGCTGAAGCGATTTTCGGGCGAGCTCCTCCTCCAACTTGTACTTTTTGGGTCTTTATGGTTTTCCAACAAAGGGAGAGATCCACAGTTTATACTAAGCAGCCTATGAACGGCTGATGGTTTTGTTTTATGAGGAGCCTTAATTCATGCCAGAAATACACTCGGAGAGGTTGGCATTCCCAGTCTAGGGTCGACCGCAATTAGTTAATTTAACTTATTTTTTATTCAAATTAATTTTCTTTGACTTTTGGATATTGATCGTACCAGGATTTGAGCATTTGGACCATCAGAATGGCAGCACACCATGCTAACCACTCGGATACAAATGCCTATACATCCTCAAAAAGTCACTGTTTGAAGTGAAAATCATTGATGCCGGTCATAACTTTACTTAGGCTGTCTTGGAAACCGACGAACAGATGGATAGACACAGCTAACGCCTCCTTATTCAATGAAGTTATATATATATGGATATATGTTCATATCTATCTCGTTTCGTTTATGCTTTGAAACCGCTAAAACTCTCATATTGAGTTGAGAAAGTAATAAAACAAATGATATATTTGTGTTATGCAAAGCCGCGATATCGACTTTTTCGAAGAAAATAATCATCACATCATTAGTAATAATTTAAAATCGAAATTAGAAAATTATAAGCGAACTCAAGCGTTCTTTTATCAGTTGAGTGTAAAAGAACACGGCTAATAAACATGTGCCTGGCTTGTAGGCAGTTGAAAATACGTGTGTGCCTGTGTGTGTGTTGGAAAGTGCATGTGTACGCACCCACAATATGTGTGCTGTACATACATACAATTCACGCGAAATAATATGCAACCGTTATCATTTGTGGAAATCTGCGAGAAATGCGCAGAAATGCAGGGAAATAAATAAGGCGAAGAACAATGGAGCCCGAGGTGTTTGTGTAAAGATTAGAAATGCTGTACAATATTTCACTTTTGCAGTGTAGCGATCGGAATTGGAAGTGGAATTGGAATTGGGATTGGGATTGTTTTTATTATTTATACTGCAACATATTTATGCAATTGATTTCTCAGCATTTTTTTTTACTTCCATAACAAACGGACGTTACTCGCGGCAGAGAAGACGAATGAAACTTCTCTTAAGATTGTGTCACTGTGCGCCCTTTGGTTGTGTGTGTGTGTATGTGTACTTTTGGTACTCACTTTTCATAATCTACACATTTTTCATTCTTTTCATTAAGCGTTTCTTTAAATATTTTACTGACGTTTGTTGGACATTGGTCAGCAGCGGGTTAGTGCCTTTCGGACCCTTCTTGTCCTTTTGCTTTTATTTATGGCAATTAAAAATTGTCTATGCAAATTTGTGCCATCTAAGGGTGGACGAAGCGGGTTTGACCAGTTTTTTTCTATCTTTTTTTCGAGTTCCGCGATATCTCTTCGAAGACGAATAATTTTTAACTTAGCTTCTTACGTTACTGGCAAAGTGAAATCAATTTTCTTGAGTAATATTTTGTTTTGGTCAGTCCGAACTCACTTCAAGCAGCTCGGCCCATGCTCCTTCCCTTCCCTCTTTTGGCGTGCACTCCTGACGAAAAAGTGAAAAATGTAAGCCGACAATTATTTCGACAAAGCATTTGCGTAATTGTGTTTTGATTTAAATTTTTCTTTGCTTCAACTTTCTGTTTCTTTTTGCCTCTTCTGCTTCGGCAGACTTGGGTAGACTTGGGCTGACGATCGTGCGAGTTACAGCTGTTGTGCTCTGGTCTGTCCACTAGCACCGAGCACCAAGTGACAAGTTCAGGCAGTTTTTCGTTCACTGGACATCCAACAAACTGGTTTGTGCATGCACACGTACACGTACGCACATACATATTTACATGCGTGCTTGCTGACCAGCTGACCACTACGATTGTTTAGTGAATTTTATTTATTTTCTTTTGCCAACTGTCCGTCCGACCGGACATTAAGTTATTAATGAGCCTGGGAAACTGGCGTTCATTTGCCTTTTTAGCACCTTTCTGGCCTTTGTGCGCCATTGTGGCAACGCTTTGTGACCGGAACCACAATCTTTTGATCCTCACGCTGAGCAAGCAGTAGGCAGTTCTGTACGTGTTGTGGATTTGTTTCAACGTACTATTTAAGCTGATGCTGTGTGGTTTATGCTTTTATGCAAATATGACGTCAGTTATGCCTTTGTGCACAAGAAATCGCAGCGTTCAAAAATAAATAACAACAAATAAGTCGCGACCGTGTGCTGCCGAGGTGCACAGCTCAAGCTGTGTGCTGTGAAAGTCTCGATTTTTGATCTGCTGCACTTCTTTTCCCCGCTGAGTTCAGACGCGCACTAACTCACTATTGCCATAAGTTCATAGCGATCAAAAGTGGAGATTGCCGGTATTGAAATGCACAAAAGAGAAGCAAACAAAATGAGTTCTGAGTTGAAATGAGCAAATGGCATGAGCGATGTAAGCCAGAAGTGAAAGGAAAAATATCCTTACGGCAGGCAGTGACATTCAAGCGAGAAAAAAATTAGTTTTTTTGGAAGCTTTCTTCTTGATTTTCTCCGTTTTATGAGCACACAATCTTCGTTAAAGTATGCTTTCAACGCCTCTTGAGGCGGCTCAGATTACATTTGCGCTTTCATTGCATCCCCGCAGCGGCTGGCACGTGCTCAAGACAGCTGCGTTTCGCTCAACTCATTGCATCTCTTCATTAGTTTTGTCTTGCGCTGACATCGCTTAGCTGCACTTCCTTCGGCTCGCCTGCTTTGTAAGGTTA